TCTCTCCCTCTCTTCCCGCCTCACTGTGGTCATTACGCCAACTTTGACCCCCGTGTCATTTCCCCGCGATTCATTAAGCTCGTTAGAACGTTGATTAATTTCGCCAATCTCTCGCCGGCGGGCCACGAAAGCTACGTGTGGCACTATTGCCTGGCCGGCACCTGGCTGCGAAAATGATGCCCAATAATGGCTGTTACGAAATCCCGCAAGCTTGATTGAGTGAGAGTTTAGTGCAGCCGGTTGGGCTGAGCGATGAGTCGCTTTACAAAATCCGGATAATAATAATTAATAATGTTAGTGCTCCGCTTCTGCAAATATAATAATGTTATGAACCGCTTCAGTAAATGGGTTAGAACCGCTCCGACAAACGGATGAGCACCACTATGGGTGCACCCACTTCGGCAAACGGGTCTGGAAAAATAGTTAAAGTTAAAGAGTTTCAATTCGGATAATGTTTCATTGAGGATTATCCGGTTATCCCGATAGTTTATCCGGATTTTGCCCACCTCTAGCTGCGGGGATTCAGTGACGTAGCAGGTTTTTGGGAAGCAAGACTTGTGGGGAAATCCCGTGAATGAAAGGCTTATTGTTTGCTTTGATTATGCTAATGTGGTGATTATGTAAAGCGTTTGTCGCTACCTCGCTATTATAAGCGTCGGAAAGGTTTCTGGTATGTCTCATTAGCGTGCGGCCGCTGGCTTTGTTTTGCCTATATATTTTATTGCGTATGATACTGTGGCTGTATACGTGTGTAATATGAGTGCATTATGTACTTTGCCGTGTGTGGGAGGGAGGGAAGGAGGGAGCGAGAGAGAGAGAGAGAAAGAAAGAGAGAGAGAGAGAGAGAGAGAGAGAGAGAGAGAAGAGATAGAGATAGAGAGAAAAAAGAGTGATAGGTAGAGAGAAGGAGAGATAGGTAGATAGAAAATAGAAAAAAGAGAGGGGGAGAGATAGATAGATAGATAGAGAGAGAGAAAGAGAGAGAGATAGGTAGAGAGAAGGAGAGATAAGTAGATAGAAAATATAAAAAGAAAGGGGGAGAGACAGATAGATAGATAGATAGAGATAGATAGATAGAGAGAGAGAAAAAAAGAAAGAGAGAGAGAGAAAAAAAAAAGAGAGAGAGAGAGAGAGAGAGAGAGAAAGAGAAAGA